AGTTCTACAAAGCCTTTGGATGGAGATGGTTATACGGAGTAGTGTTATTGAGAAGGGGAGAATATAGCAAAATTATATTACCCTGGAGTAAGGAGTCAGTGGCATTCCCAAACTAGAAGTTTTGGGTTATAACACTGAAAGTGTTACTTGAAGCCGAGTACATTTAAGCTCAGGTGTACGATAGCTCCAGGAAGAAGCTATCAACGTTTTCAATTGACAAGTTGAAGTCACAATTATCTTAAGCTTAGAGGTGTTAGAGAAAAAAATTCCTGGTGTGAACACCTAACATTGGGTGCTTTCGATTTGATTTGATTAATTGTCCATGTAGGTAAGTACGGTGAAAAATTCTGTTTTGCATGCAATAAAGACAGGTTGTACCATTAAAAGTGCATTAAGGTTATAGAACATGGTGAAGAATATGATGTTACGGCTGCAGAGAAGGTGACAGACAGTGAGATCAACATTAAATTTGCAATTTGAGAAGTCCATTCAGAAGTCTAATAACAGCAGGAAAGAATCTATTCCTATGCGTACATCTTTTGTATCTTCTGACAGATGGTGGAACAGAGTACAACCGGGGTGGGAGAGGTCTTTGATTGTGTTGGTTGCTTTCCCGAGGTAGGGGGAAGTATAGCTGAAGTCAATGGATTGAAGGCTGGTTTGCGTGATGGGACTGGGCTGTGTTCACAACTCTAGTTTCTTGCCGTCTTGGGACAGCAGTTGCCAAACCATACTGTGATGCATCCAGACAGAATCCTTCCTATGGTGCATCTATAAAAATTGGTAAGAGTTCTTGTGGACATGCTGAGCTTTTGGGTACTGTACAAAGGATATTGCTTTTGTTTAAAATTTGTAAAGGAATGTTTTGGGATGAACGGGATTATACTTTTATCATGTGTTTAAAAATCTTTGTATTATTGTTATAAATAAATAATTTGGATTATACTAGTTTTTGGTTAATAAATTTCTGTTTTAATGTTAAAACAAACTGCAACATTGTGTGTGTTTTGGTCAGTAAGATGACCTAATTTGCAATTAAAACAAAACATGATCTATCAGGCCAGATTTCAGTCCGAGATCTGATTTGTCCAGTATTAGAATAACTGGGACCATAACAATACAAAGACAGACTGTCTACAACAGATCTGTGGTTAGGAATACGGAGGTGAGTAACTCATCTACTGACTCCACAAAAGCCTGTCCAATATCTACAAGGCACAAGTCAGAAATATGGTGGAGTACTCTTCACTTGTTTGGATGAGTGAAGCTCCGACAATACAGAAGAAGCTCAACGCAATCCAGGACAAAGTAACCCACACAACTGTCATCCACCAACTTCAACAATCATTCTCTCCACTATCAACACAGTCATAGCAGTGCATGCCATCTATAAGCCCAGAACGAAAAACCGGTAAGATTGGCAGATGAGCCCATCAATTGACACTGGCCCATCATCAATTACACATTCAGTTAATTGGCAAATGTATTCTTTTAAAATTAAACCACTGCGGTCAAATAAGTGGGAAGAGAGTGGAGCCATTCTACCCCAACTCAACTGATTGTTTTTGTTTCAATCTCCACATAGCACCATCTCAGCATAATTATCAAAGTCCAAGAGGATGAAAATTAAATGTAAAACAGAAACAAACAGCGCCCATTGCTTGGCAGAACAATTCAAGGTAACAAGTTGAGGCAGCAGCCTTCCAGCAGCTCAAAGCTGACACTCAAAGACAAATCTGAAAGATAAGGTACATATTGTGGGAAGAGAAAGCCAGCAAGAGAGAGATCAAACAATATGCTGACCATCATAACATGCAAAAATATTTTGAAACCACCAGGGCCACGTACATAACAGGTTCAAATGGACAAACCATGACCCCAACTTCATGACAACTTGTTCTTCAGAATGGGAGATAAATCATGCTGTGGAAACTCAGGCGCTCCAGCTTACACACAGAAAATCCTGCCACGCATTCCCTGAATTGCCTACCTGAAATCCTCTCAGATGGTGTGTCTTTAGATTTCCCAGGGAAATATACTCACTGTTGCCACCCAAATCCAGGAAAAAATTTTGAGAACGCAGAATTCTTCATTGCAGTAAGTCAACTTGATTGAAGCATGTGGCTCAATACATCATGAGGCTTTGAGTATTGTGCTACAAAGATTAGGATGTCCAAGAAACTTCATCACAACCTAATTGCTTCATTATGATATAACTGCTACCGTCTTGAGGCGAAAGATCTGAAACATGTGCCTCCTCGACACAGTATAGTATATTCAATTATTGTCACTTGTAGTTATGAAAACACAGTGAAAAGTGTATAAGTCGCCATAATCTAGCACCATTTTAAATACAGAACTTAGAAATATTTGAGATAAAGTTAAGCCAAAGTTCATTTTTTGTTCCCTCCACAACTCCTGGGTTTCTGAAGTGGCAACGGAACAATGCCTCTGAAGCTACATGGAGCAAGACTAGATCCACAGCACCTCCATTGCTGAAACAGCGCCCTAATGACACCGCAAGGGCCTCAGACAGGACCCACCACACTGCCCATATTCATGCATTTATCCAATTGCCTCTTTAAACTTGGTAACTATACCTGCCTCCACCACTTTCTCTGGCAGTTCATTGGACATACGAACCACTATGTAAAAGAAGTTGCCCCTCATGTCCTTTTAAAACCTTTCTCCTCTCACCTTAAAAATATGCCCCCTACTTTTGAAGCTCCCCACTCTAGGGAAAAGACCTTTGCTACTCACCTTATCAATGCTCCTCATGACTTTATAAACCCCTGTAAGGTCCCCCGTCAATCTCCTTCGCTCCAGTGAAAAAAGTTCCACCCTTTCCAATCTACTTTTATATCTCAAACCCTCCATTCCTGGCAACGTCCTAGTAAATCTTTTCTGAACCTTCTCTAGCTTAATAACATCCTTCCTATAACAGGGCAACCAGAACTGCACATAGTAAACCAGAAGAAGTCTCACCATAGTCCTGTTCAACCTCAACATGCGTCCCAACTCGAATATTGAAAGGTTTGAATATTGAAGGCAGGTTTGAATATTGAACACCTTCTTCACCACCCTGTCTACCTATGACACAAATTTCAAAGGACTATGTATCCCTAGGTCTCTCTAATCTACAACACTACCCAGGACCCTACCATTAAAATTACAGAAGTCCTGTTCTTGTTTGTATTACTAAAATGCTATACCTCACGTTTATCCGAATTAAACTCCAACTGCCACTCCTCAGCACACTGACCCAATTGATCAAGATCTCTTTGAAACCTTAAATAACCCTCTTCACTGTGCACAATACCACCAATTTTGGTGTCATCTGCAAACTTATTAATCATGCCTCCTACATTCTCAGCCAAGTCATTTCTATAAATGACAAACAAAAATGGATCCAGTACTAATCCCTGTGGAATATCGCTGGTCACAGGCCTTCAGTCCAAAAAAAAACTCCACTACCACCACCCTCTGTCTCCTACCACAAAAGTAATATTGTATCCAACTGGCAAGCTCACCCTGAATCCCATGTGGTCTAACGTTACTAGTTAGTCTGCCATGCGAAACATTGTCAAAGGCCAAGTAATCAGCATCTACCGCTTCATTAAAAAACTCAGTCGAGTTTGAGACACACGATTTCCCATGCACAAAGCTATGCTCACTATCCCTAATCAATCCTTACTTCTCAAAATGTATGTACATGAATCACCAACAACAACATATCCACGATCAATTTCACACTTGCAGATGTACAGTTTCCAGGCTTCTCCCTATAGACTTTCATAAACACTAGCACAAAATTAGCCACCCTCCAGGCTCCAGTACTTCATACGCTCTTTATAGATTATTCAAATATTTATGCTTGGCACCAAACAATTTTCTCCCTAACTTCTATAATGTCCTGGGATACACTTGATTAGGTCCTGGAGATTTATCTACTTTTATATTTTTGAAGACCTGTAGCACTTATTAGAATTAAAGATTATTAGCATTGTCATGCTGTTCATTTGACAATTTTGTCTGTTATTCTAATGTAGGTAATAATCAGTTCATTTTAAATGAATTGGTTAACATTACTAAAAAAGGCAAAGAAATGCCATACATATGTCTTAAATATCAAATGTTAAACAGCATGAACCAAGCATTTTGTGAACTTTTACAGTTGGCACAAGATGAAAACATTTAATCTGAAGAACTGTCACCAAACAGTCACAAGAAATAGAAGTATACACAAACAAAATGATGTTCAAGACAATAATCAATGATCTGTACAAATAAATTAAGCCACAGTGGCTTAGAATTATCTGTTTAAATTGAAAGAGACTTTTTGGTGCTCACAATACATGAAAAGGTCACAGAAAGCACTCAAAACTATGGCTCCCTTCAAACACCATTGTCAGCTTCTTCAAGACTAAATCATTGGAAAGGGAAATTTAAACTGGCTGTCATTTCAAAACAAGCATAACTGGATGTCAATTTCCACTGTTACCTGCATTTAGAAAAACACGTTCACAATGTGGGCAAATATTGCATCATAGGAAGAAATCAATATCATTTCACTGCATCAAAAGCTGCTTAAACTGCTACTTAAAACGGACCATTTGTTTCTGTTGCATACCGTGGAGGTGATATTTTTATTTTGAACGTTGACAAGGAAATCTTGCTTGGGCTAAAACAGTTGTATTCTATAGCCTCTCCACACATACAGCCTGTGCCCAAATACAAGTCCATAATGCAAATTGTTTTGACCTCTTGGTTTCAAATAAATTCAAGTATGAACAATAAATGTTTTACGAATATCAATTATATCTATTATTAAATCAAATAATGCCAATAAAAGAGAAATTGAAATTTGATAACTTTTCCACAAGGACTTAATCAAAACTGGCTACCTCAAACAGACTTTATTAAAATTGGAACTGGAAGAACAATTATTTCACTGAATAGGTATCCTCAGCAAGATACAATTGACAATTTCAACAACTCACCATGCTCCTCTGATCCAACTGGTTGACATTCTGGAAACTGATTTTCAGAAGGAACACTAACAGTTCGACGTAGTAGCCTTGCCCTACATGACTCTGCTCGCCGTTCTTGCAGCAGCAATGGATGAATCTAGAAAGAAAACCCACAGGAGAATAACTGTCCATAAACATCTTGATTGGAATATCTTCTTCATTAATCAACTGTGTCAATAAATTTTTACAACACATCGGGGGATTCATTGGGTCTTTATCTGCCTTCATGCAGTCAAGGCTATCAAATGCATCTAATGCATAGTAATTACAGATAGGTCATTGAATTTGATGCATCAGCTAAAGGGAAACTCAAATCTGAAGTGTCATATGAAAAATGCATGTGCAGACAACAGCTGTCTTTAATTATTCCTTTATCTGCAGGCAAAATATAGAAGCTTAAACGACGAAATTATTAATGCATATATAGTTTCTGGTTAGGATTTGCCTCCATGTTCAGTTATATCAATATTTGCTGGCTTTTCATTTTAAGAATGATGAGGAAACATGAATTCCTAATTTTCACTCTAATTCTTCTTGATTTTCTGTAAATTCACTCCTGAGATTTTAGTGTCAATGACCAGGTCAGCATTTATTGCCCCTCCCTAATTGCCAGTGAGAAAGTGATAGCATGTCGCGTTCTTAAACTTCAAGAGTCCATGTTGTGAAGGTATGTCCAGAGTGCTGTTTGAAAGGGAGATCCAGGAAATTGACCAAGCAATAGATAAGGAATGCCAACAGCGTTCTGATCAGGATAGTGTGAAGTTTGGATGGAGATTTAAGAGGTGGTTTTCCTTCGCATCTGTTTCCCTGAAATTTCTAGCCATACAGTTCACAGGTTTGGAGTGGGTTATTAAACAAGTCTCAAGAGTTGCTGCAGTCTTGGTCAGTCACTCTTACTATGCTATTTCAGAGGGCAATGAAGAGTCAATCACATTGCTATCGGTCCAGTGTCACATGTAAGCTAGACCATGTGAAAATGGCAGATTTCCCAAAAACTCAATGAAATCTCATGATCATCATGATTGAGACTAGCTTCAGGTTTTACTGAATCACCAGCTGCTGTCATGGGATTTGAACACATGTTTCCAGAGCATTAGTATGGGTTTCTGGATTGCTAATTCAGGTAACATTACTACTACACCACTGTCTCCCTATAAATATACGTAGTAATAGGCAGGCTATACGTAGTCAGGAGCTAGCCACAAGAGGTGTATCCTCTGTCCAGCTCAATAGCTATAGATTTTATGACTTTTCATAAATTAAGCTTCTAGTCAATGGTCAACCCGAAGACCTTGGTGGTGGGGGATTCAACTGTATGCTGAATGTCAAGGGGAGATGATTAGATTCTCACTTGTTAGAGATGTCATTGCCTGGCATGTGTTGCAAATGTTACTTGCAAATTAAAAGCCCAAGCCAAATGTTGTTCAAGTCTTTCCGATTGCAGACAAAGATGGCTTCCAACTGAGGATCCCATGCAATCAGCAGCAAATATCCCAAACCAAAACCCATTGTATTGAAGAAATGATTATTGATGAAGCAGCTAAGATGATAGGGCTTAGAGCACTATGCTGAGGAACTCCTGCAGTAATATTCTGGGACTGATAGGCCTCCAACAACCATAACCTTTATGCTGGGAATGTCTCCAACCAGTGAAGACTTGTACCCCCAGATTCCTACAGACTCCAGACTTGCCAGGCTCCCGGATTCCACACTCAGTCTAATGTTGCCTTCTTGATGCTGGTGTGGGTTGTAATATATGGACTATTATTATTTAATATCATCTGCTGATTAAATACCTCTTGCATTTGAAAGAAAACAACTCTGAATGAGCCAGAGCACTGTCTTAAAATGACTGCAGAAGCCAAGTGACCAGTAAGCTGGCCAAAACACAAGCAAATTACAAAATGGACCCTAAACAACACCTCAAAGAGAGAGAGAGAGATTCACATTAAGAAAAATAAAACTGAAATTAGATAACTTTCTACAGGAGTAGTCAGACAAGAAAGGAACTACACCAAAACCCATCATGCAAAAAAATGGGTACAGAGGTCCCATGGCCATTTCAATGGCATCTTGTTAGTTGTCAAAAGCTATGATTATGACCTTGAGGGTGGGTGACTTTAAGCAGTAACATCAAAACATCCTTTTGCATGAAAGGGATAGCAGTTCTCAGCCTTTTCAGGCTCAAACCTATCTGTTAAAGTTGGAATACAGAGTTACGGAAAATTGTTTTAAAAGGAAAAAAAAACAGGAACTTCAGCCGAGTTTCTGCAATAGCTGGTATAAGGACTGATTGGAGTTTAAGAACTGACTTCAGAAGAACTCAATAAAAGTATATCAAAACAAACACTTTCACTTTCTAATTCAATACATCTGTCTGGTTTGTTCCTGTATAGCTTTAAACAAGTTCTAGTACATGTCGAATTGCAAAAACGCAACTTTCCAAACTGCTACTCCAACCTCAGCAGTGAAAACAATAATTAATTCATCCCTCCAGACTTGGTCGTAACAATGTTGAGGTAGTCACTTACATCTCACTTCTGGAACTTAGTTTTGTTTTTGCCCATGCAAGTTAAGGGCCATGGTTCCAAGTTAAGGGCCCCCCAGTGGCCAAACAGAGGACTGGTGACCAGGTTGCTGCTGAATAAATGTGGCTTATTAATGATGTCAGCAATACCATCTACCACTTGGCTAAATGATCAAAGGTAGACTGACAGGGCAGTAATTGGTTGGATTGGTTGCACCCTATGTTTTGCGGACAGGACAAAACCGGTCAAAATTCCAAAAGGATGGGCAGATGCAGATTTTGGATCTTCATAAACCATGTATCAAAATTGGCTGCAGATCGCTCATTCTCAGCATACCACGGAGAACTATGACATTCAGTCCATCAAGCCCCCTCCGCCATTCAATGTGACCATGGCTGATTATCCATCCCAATACTTTTTCTCCACACTTCTTTGCATCCTTGACTTGCTTCTAAACACCATTCTCTACCTTAAACGTATTCACGACTGAACTTCTACAGCATTCTTGGGTACAGAATTCCAAGATTCACAATACTCTGAATAATAAGAATTCATTCCATTCCACTGACTTCCTTTCAACAATCTAATCCAACAGTAATTTATCCCATCACATTGTGACTAAATTGTTAAAATTTTAGTATTTAGAAAAACCTCCTAACTCTTTTAGTCAATTTCCATAAGCACTTTTCCGCCTATCTATATGTTCATTACGTTGCCTATATTATGCAGATTCCCTAAGGAGGCTATGGCACCAAACACATCTGAGCATGGACACACGCAGCAGCCTGGTTCTGTATTGTCACCAAAGTCAGACAAATGCAGAGTCGTAAAAGGAGAAAGGCCAATGATTCATCTATACTCCAAAAGGCAAGTATCATTATTCTCCCTCTGCTACCTCACTTTCTCTAACTTTGCCACTGCACGCAAACCTCACCAAATGGTCATGGGCTACCAACTTCACTACTGCACACATCTCCACTCAACAGTTCTCACCAACTTCATCTTCTACAAACTACCAACCGATCCCTGCCCTCTAGCTAAAAAGCTATGCAAACCACAGGAAGGGTTTAGGCCCGAAACGTCAGCCTTTCTGCTCCTATGATGCTGCTTGGCCTGCTGTGTTCATCCAGCCCTGCACCTTGTTGTCTCAGCATCAACCAGGAAATGCTCTGACTTTCAAGACAGGAACTGTCAGTTTCTAGTTTCTCAGGAGAGGGGGGGGAAATTGTGAGCTGCATAGAATTGAGACAAGATTAGCTAATAAATTAAATGAAATAAGGTAGATATTGCTATGACTTATATTTGGAACTTGGCATTGAAACAAGGGGAAAGAAAACAGAGTCACATAGCATGGAACCACACCCTTCAGTCCAACTCATCCATGCTGACCAAGTTGCCCAAACTAAACTGGTCCCACTTGCCTGCATTTGGCCCATATGCCTCAAAACCCTTCCTTTTCATTTACCTGTCCAAACGCCTTTTAAATGTTGTAACTGTACCCTCATCTGCCACTTTCTCTGGTTGTTCATTCCACATGCTAACCAACCTCTGGGTGAAAAATTTGCTCCTCAGGTCACTTTTAAATCTTTCTCCTCTCACCTTAAAAACTAGCCCACTAGTTTTGAACAACCCCACCCTAGGGAAAAGACCTTTGCTGTTCACCTTATCTATGCTCCTCATGATTTTATAAACCTGAACTATATCCCCTTAATCTCAAACAAACACATTCACAGGACAAAGACAACAATAAAGTCTGTAGAGATACTCCTGTAGGCCAAGTGTCTGAACTCAAAAGGACAAAATGGGATGACTTCTCAATTCCTAGAGCTTCCTGTCAAAGTGATTTAAATACTGAACATCAGAGTGATCAAAAATCTTCAGACTAGACTTCAATTCAGATAGAAATTCAGTTAGACTCTAGTCTATGGACAGAAGTAACAGTTCAACTTTTAGGGTTTATGAGGCAGTCAAAAAGGTACTGATGTTTTAGAACTCTCCGGATACTTCCTAAAAAAAAAAAGTGAAAATAAATCTTGATGGAAGCTATTGAGGACTTTCCCTTCTAAACCCATGTCCAGGTATCCTGGAAAAACAGAAACCAACTCTAGAAGAGTGTTGCTAATTAACCTCCAGTTTGTAGGCCCCATTTCTTCCAAATCACATTTGTCCAGCAAATAGAAGTAATAAACCTCATCTCTTATCTCTTAAAAGCTTTGCTTATCTCCCTTCTAAAGTTACTTGGTTTTTAGTAACTAGCAATTAAGTTACAGCCCACATTACTGTTGAACAATTCCAACAAATCAAATGTTCTTTCAAAATCTTCGTAAACCCTTTTTTTGATCCTGAATATCCAAATAGTTCTATATTCCAGTTCTTTGTACCACTTAAATATAATGTATTCCCAACACCTGCCGGTTAGACCTCGAAAGAAAAAGGAATTGTCAAACATAATTTCCCTTTCATAAAAGCAGTGCTGACTGACTAATCATTTTCAAAATGTCTTGTTATAAAATTCCTAATAATAGATTCTTTGCATCTTTCCTACCACTGACGTCATATTAACAAGCAA